TGGCAAGGGCGGCGATGCCGTCGTCGTCGCGGGTGGTTGTTGTTGTTGTTGTTGCGTCGTGGGTTCCTCCATCATGGCGGCTCGAACCGAAGGTAGGTCCAAATCGGTTTCTGTGTTGTTGCTGGTTCCAGGTTGGTATTGCGGGTGAATAAAGGGGAAGACACGGAGACCGAGTCGAAGCCAGCTTGTTGATTGAATGGACGGCGGTTGTGAAGGCGGCGTCGGTGCCAATTGACCCACTTGTGGTGGATGCTCGAGTGTCCGTGGGCCCGTTGACCGGGATTGCCAACTTCGGGATCGAGACTGCGCAGGCCGCAGGCGGAGCGAGCGACGGGACGGCGGGCGGACGTGGTCGAGGTCGGCGTCCAAGAAATGACGTCCGTGCTTTCGATGATGAAGATTGGACTTGATCCTTTTCCAATTCTTTCCTTCGCAAGTTAAGCAAGGACGAATATCTCAAGACGGTGTCAATTGCTCAGTGCAGAATAATTGGCCAGAGAGTTGACTGCCTTGATCGCGTCGAAAGCTGGACAGCCGCGGACCGATGTCTTGTGTCGATGTAACGAGCAGTGACACTTGAAGTTCTCTCTTGGAGTTCGAGATGAATCGCAGGGCAGAGAAGAGAAAGTGGGAAAAGAATATGGAAAAATCGTCGCGGGGTCGCAAAAGAAGAAAAGAAGTTTTAAAAGTTCAGTTGCAAGGAAGGCGCCCTCCTCACCACAACCTTTGGCTTGGCGACACAAAACCGAGCCTACCCCTTTCCGACGGAACGTTGAAGGATTTCGAAACCTCTTGCACGGAATGCCGTAATCCGTGGCGTACCACAGTGCAGATTGTACTTGCCCGATGACGACCACCGATTCAGGCCATCATTGGACAGCTCGAGGTTACTGGTTTGAATCCGTCAACTTAAACGTACCTGTTGTATCATTGTAGCTGATAGCCAGCATTTCCGAGCCTTTTCTGCTTATGATTCTCGCCATGACATTGAAGCTGGTCCATCACCTTTGCCCCGGCCACCGGTTCTTGGATGCCACTTCAGCTGATGTAACTCCCAGTTGGAAACTTTTGGGTTTCCATTGTCTTCAAGAATGGCTTGCTGGAGGTTCGAAAGCTCAGGTTCTTGCAGAGCCATTTCCCCTCGATCTTCCCCTGGGAATTTTGCAGGTTGTCCAAGAATCTTGAATGTCGGAGGCACATGTGATTTCTTTGGTGTTGTTGGAGAGAGTGCTTGGTACTGCAGCCTTTCCTCTAGTGGAATGACAGCCCACTGTAAGCCTTGATAAGATAACGTGTAGATAAGATAGGAACATCAACAAAAAGCTGAAGGAGCAAATTATCAGGCGCAGATGGGCTGAATGTACGTATGACAGAAGTGGAAGCAATGGTAGCATTAATGTAGCAGTCCCAAGTTACTCTCGAATGTACCTCTTCAATTGTCGGGTTTCTTCTGTCCATGTTCAGTTCCCACAAGATCGCAAGTGAATGGAAAGTCCAGTCTCGTCACCAAGACAACGTTATCTGATAAGGAGCTGCCCCTGCAATTGCCAACTGGCCGCTCGTTCTGTCGCGCTTCTGCAGCCGAAACTCACCCAGAAAGAAAGCGACCAGCCCCACTCTTGCCAGCTGCGGCAGGCTTGCGTTCCAAAAATTTCCATCCATGCATTCGCGATTCTGGCTGGGCCATCATATCTTGCCATCCAATTCACCAAGCCATCCATCAAATCCAGCCATCACCACCACATTGAAACTCGCCCTGATATCGTGACCTGTCGCGCAACCTCGATCGAGAAATTCCGTTGATATCGAAACCCCGACCACCGAAAAGACCAAAAATCCCACACATACAGCCAAAATGCCGTCCACACACAAGAAGGAGAAACCATGGGATACCGACGACATCGACAAGTGGAAGGTCGACCCCTTCACCAAGGATGAATCCTCCGGCCCTTTCCTCGAAGAGTCCTCGTTCATGACTCTTTTCCCCAAGTACCGCGAGCGCTATCTACGAGACTCTTGGCCTCTTATCACCAAGGCCCTCGACAAGCACGGCATTAACGCAGTTCTCGATTTGGTGGAGGGTTCCATGACAGTAAAGACGACAAGAAAGGTGCGGCTCAGCTCCTCTTGTTTTCTGTGGTCGTCATCCTTTTTACTAACTCGCGTCTACAGACATTCGACCCCGCAGCCATCCTCAACGCCCGCGATCTCATCAAGTTGCTAGCCCGTTCAGTACCAGCGCCCCAAGCGATCAAGATTCTCGAAGATGGCATGGCGTGCGACATCATCAAGATCCGCAGCATGGTACGGAACAAGGAGCGATTCGTCAAGAGGCGCCAAAGAATTCTCGGTCAGAACGGCACAACACTCAAGGCCCTCGAGCTTCTCACACAAACATACATTCTCGTGCACGGCAACACGGTGTCGGTAATGGGCCCCTTCAAGGGTCTGAAGGAGGTCAGGAGGGTGGTCGAGGACACCATGAACAATGTTCATCCGATTTACATGATTAAGGAGTTGATGTACGTTTTCCCATCTCTTTGTTCCCACCCCCATCAACAGTCAACTAACACACCCCGCAAACAGGATCAAGCGCGAACTCGCCAAAGACCCCGCCCTCGCCCACGAAGACTGGTCGCGCTACCTTCCCAACTTCAAGAAGCGCACCCTCTCCAAGCGCCGCGTCCCGCACGTCGTCAACGACAAGACCAAGAAGACCTACACCCCCTTCCCGCCCGCGCCCGAAAAGAGCAAGGTGGATCTGCAGATCGAGTCCGGCGAGTACTTCCTCGGAAAGGAGGCCAAGCAAAGAGTTGCCGAGCAGGAGCGCGCGGAAAAGGCCAAGCAGAAGAAGGAGGAGAAGAAGCGCGAGCGCGAGAAGGAGTACGTGCCGCCCGAGGAGTCGACGGACAAGAAGGCCAAGAAGAGGAAGACAAGCAGCGAGTAGTTTGGGAGGAACGAAAAGCGGGCGAGGGAGAAGAAGATGAGAAAGAGAAAGGATCCTGGAATCCCATGATACCCACACTTCGGCAGACGATACGATTTAAGATCCTGCTGCTTTTTTTTCGGGATCCAAGGACCAAGGGTGATCTGGTTGCTAATTCACACACAAAAAGCATTTTGTCAAATCTGTTGTCGAGCATCATTCAAGCATTTAAGCGAATCTTTATGCGAGTTTTCCCTGTCGAAACAGACCGATTCTTGAGCCTGTGGATATCTCAAATTCGAACCCCGAATGTCGAACAAAATCCGGTGACGTTCGGCGATAAGCCCGATGCGGAGCTGATCCGCACCACCACCAAAATGTCAGCTCCACCCCGGCGGATCGCGAACAAGGGGTCATCACACAGGGGCAGCGGGCCGAGGCAGTTGCATCATTGGGTCCGGCAAAGAATGCGGGGGAGAGTGGGGGCGGGCCATCGTCGGTGACAGGGCCGGGGTTGAGAGGCTCAATGACTTTTGACCACACTCCTTCCCCAAAGACATTATTAATCGAGAATGGGGTTACGATTTATTTAAACATTTAACTGTTCACCCATTTTGTTTCCTGGAAGATTTGTTCATTGAACCTTTTGATTAGGACATTAAGACTCCTATATACAACGCCAAGATGCCTCTCCAACTAACCGTCAAGAAAATCGACGGTAAACCCGGCCAGGTTTACTATCCGTATGTTTTTGCTTTCTCCTCATGTTCATCTCATCAACCAAACCACTAACATGTCAACAGCCTCCAACTAAACACCATCCCCAAACCCACCCCCGGCCCCGGCGAGCTCCTCGTCCGGCTCCACTCCTGCGCCCTCAACCACCGCGACCTCTTCATTCGCCAACACCTCTACCCCGGCATCTCCTTCTCCAACCCTTTTCTCGCAGACGGCTACGGCGTCGTCGAATCCGCCGGCCCCTCCGTAACCTCCGCCTCGGCGCAACTAATCGGCAAACCCGTCCTCATCACTCCCTCCCGCGGGTGGATCTCCTCCCCCGACGGCCCCGACGATCCAACCCAGCCTTGGACCGTCATCGGCTCCGCCCAGCTCACACCGGCGGGGACAGCGCAGGAGTACATCGTCGTCCCAGAAGCCGAAGCCGTTGCCGCGCCTGAACATCTCAATGCCGCCGAGGGCGCCGCCCTTCCCTTGGTGGGGTTAACCGGGTGGCGAGCGCTGGTTACCAAAGCCCAGGCCAAACCCGGGCAGAACATTTTGGTGACCGGCATCGGCGGCGGTGTTGCATTGCAAGTGTTGCAGTTCGCCGTGGCGATGGGGTGTAACGTGTTTGTCACCTCTGGGGATTCCCAGAAAATTGAAAAGGCGAAGAAAATGGGTGCTAAGGGAGGGGTGATTTATAAGGAAAAGGATTGGGATAAGCAATTGCTGAAACAGTTGCCGAGGGATAGACCATATTTGGATGCGGTGGTTGATGGTGCCGGAGGGGATGTGGTGGCGAGGAGTGTGAAGCTTTTGAAGAGTGGTGGGGTTATAGCGAGTTATGGGATGACGGTTGGTCCGAAGATGGATTGGTTGATGCAGGCTGTTTTGAAGAATGTGGAGCTGAAGGGGAGTACGATGGGTAGTCGCAAGGAGTTTGAGGAGATGGTGGAGTTTGTGAGGGAGAAGGGGATCAGGCCGGTGGTGAGCAAGGTGGTTAGGGGGTTGGATAATTTGAGTGGCATTGATGAGTTGTTTGAGGAGATGAAGCAGGGGAAGCAGTTTGGGAAGTTGGTGGTGTTGATTGATGGGAAGGCGGAGGAGGGGAAGGAGAGTAAGTTGTGATCTCTCACCCGCCCCGCCCCCCCTTCCCGGATGATATAAGGAGTTGAAACGGAGCTGATGCTAGTTTCCGTAGGTGAATAAGATACCAAAGAACGATTATCCTCTATCCTATAAAGGTGGACATAGTGCAAAAAAGGGAGAGAATGCCGAGAGGCCGGCCCTGATGATAATAGAAAAAAACAGATCAAAAAAGAGGATCTCGAATCATCTATCTCATCACCGATTTTGGACGAGCTGGGAATCGAACCCAGGACCTTTCGCATATCCGTAAGGTATGCTAAGCGAACGCTCTACCAACTGAGCCACACGCCCTGAAAGTGGAGATAAAGATATTGATGATGGAGAAGTGGACGAGCTGGGAATCGAACCCAGGACCTTTCGCATATTCGGAAGAAACATGCTAAGCGAACGCTCTACCAACTGAGCCACACGCCCGTAATCTTTGTTGGAAACCGGCGCCGGATGAAGGGTTTATCATTGCGAGGCGGTTGAGTTGAGAAGTGACTGGTGGTAATTAGGAGTGAGGCGAGAGTGATGTGATTGTTGATGGGATGGCTGAAGTGTGGTTTGGAGGAACTTTGGGTATGAACAACCAAACCGCAATGTGATTTGGTCGACGCCTTAACGGAAATTCCCACATTTGTGGCATTGTGTATGTTGCTGGTTGCAGAATTGATGAGTGTCTGGGGAGTGCCATCTGTGGTCGTATTTAGTGATACATGCATCGGTTTTTCCCCGAACGGACCGAAAATGGTGGTCGCTGAACCGTGCTACTCTTCGGTATTGAACCTTGGCATCGGTCCTCTTTTCTCTTTTTGACGTGTTCATAATGCACTAGTCGGCTGCGTTTGTGACGGGAAGCATTGGGTCAAACTTGGCTTTTGTCCGTTAGACAGCTTGCGCAACCCTTCGTGGAATGAGTTCGATCGGGAGTTGGAATCTAGATTCTAGGTTGACGCCTTGGTCCGTTGTAGTAGCTTGGTGCCCAACGGAAACCGTTGGGGAAAGGAGGGGTGTCGATCACCAAAGAGAAGAGACGTGGTCCCGATGCATGGTCCAGCCCAATTAGATGCTCCGTTGCCGGTAATTTGATGCCTCTCGGTGATTATTGTGGCCATGATCCTTGCTCACCAACACAGACTTGTCGTTCATGTTATGGTCGTCGAAGTTGACTGGGCGGCTATTCAGGGTTTACCAAAAAGGTTCCCACTCCAGATGATCGTCTTCGGTATCACTGTGGTCGGAGGCATGTTCGATGTGCTCAACGCCTTTGCGCTTTTCGGTGGCGGAGGAGGAGGCTTTTGGCTTTGGCTTTGACTTTGGCTTAGACTTTGGCTTAGACTTCGGCTTAGACTTCGGCTTGTTGATGGAGACAGTAACTTTTGGGTTTGGCTTGGGCTTGGGGTTCTTGAAGTTGGTTGAGATAGATGTTGAGGTGATGCGTTTGAAGGTCACTTTGGAGAGGGCGGTAGAGATTGTGCTAGATAGACGAGTGAGCAGGGCGCCTTTGAAAGGGCGCGGGAGGGAGGTTGAAGGCATAGCTGTGGCAGTCAAGGTTGCGGAGGTCATGGTCGTGGGAGTCATGGTTGTGGGAGTCATGGTTGTGGATGGCACGATTTCAGTTCGAGAAACGACTTTATTGTCTGTTGCGTTTGGGCCGGAAAGTGATGGCATGACGGGAAGGATAAAACACCAAGACAGTCAACGAACGGGGAACACCGGAACTTTTGTACCCCGACCCCCCGACTCTCGTCTCCATCATCCCAACGTGGTTCCATTCTCAGGTACCATCCACCATGCATGCGGGCCAGCAAAACCCCATATATACATGCATGATGCACATCAACGACGTGTCATTTTGTAAGTTGATGATGCACCCCACGCCGTAGTCTGGCATAAGCGCTGTCTTTAGTGGTTTTTGGTGGAGGACATGAGTCCATGTGTGCTTCAGCCCTTTAGCGCTTTCCAAAACCACAGACTGACGCTTTCACCAAGAAGAAGAGTGACACACGTGAAGACAATGACCCCAGGCAAGTCCGCGCAACACTCCACGAGCAAACATGACAGTTCAAAGCAAAGATTGTACATCGGGCTGGTTAAGTGAGTCAATCCTGGGACCAAGTGTGTCGAAGAACAAGAAGGTCATGTTGGATGCGAGTGCCAGATAGACGTACAGATGGCATGGCATGTATACGTGTTGTTTACCCTTGCCCTGAGCTTCCTAGCAGCGTACCATCTGGTTCTATCCACATGACATTTTTTGATTTACGATGCCAACATCGCCCAAAACTCTCCACGGACTGCCGTCAACCCCCGTTCTACGGTACACTGTTTGAATGCACGCCATCGTCAGTACCAAAAACCGTTTTCCTCAGGGCACGGCCGGAGGGTATATGCCACTTGCACGCGACCTAATGTCAACAGTAGAACTTTGCAAAAAGGAGGCAATTCCTGAACGGTTGTCGGGTGACAGCGGTTACGGTGTTGGGACTGATGGGTTGACATGTTGTAGGTATTATTGCACAGTTCACTTCACATAGCAGCCAAGAAAACAAGCATCACGATCATTGAAGGTGTATCCAACCACTTGCATTCCGTTCGTTTCTAGCTGTCGTCGTGTCTTCCCTTTCTTGCCCTTTTCCATCTCCAGCTCGTTCTCCAGCTCGTTCCATGTCTCCGGTCCCAGCTCTCCTCCCATTCCTTTCCCTGTCCATCAACTCCCTCCCCGCAAATATTCTCCAAAGGCCAAAAAACCCAGACTTCCACCACCCTGCCTCAACCCTAGCCGTATGTCGATAAAAGGCGTGTATGACAACGCCGGAGACATCCAACCCAACCGGACCCCATCTACACCGCACACAAAACAACCAAAACCCCTATCTCCGCCCCCTGGGACCTAAACTCCGACCCCCTCCTCTTCCCCTTTGAGGTTGGAACCGGCCTCGCCCCCTTCCTCAACCTCTCCAACCTCTCCCTCTCCCTCTCCTTCTTCTCCTCCTTCTTCATTGCCCGTACTTCCTCCCTGTGCTGCTTGTAGCTAACCAAACGCTCCTTGAGAGCGTGGAGGACGTGCCTGCCTCCCACTTGATGGTGACGGTGTTCGTGCTCCTCTTGAGGTCTGTACTCGTCTTCGTACCTGTACTCGTCTTCGTACTCGCAAAGTGCATGCTCCTGCCCCTGAACTCGCGTGAGAGGAGTGAATTGAGACAAGTCTTTGTTGTTGTCGGTGGTGTTGTCGGCGTGCTTGTCTTTGTGCTTGTCTTTGGTGTTGGCAACCTTAGAGCGGCCAGCCTGAGCTCGCTGGGACCTGCTCCAGGCCGGAAACATGGCGTAGACCGGGTGGAGGAAGGAGCCGACGAGTCGTGGTTTGCGGACTTGGACGGTGCTGCATGTGTCGGAGAGGGAGATGGCGGTTGTGATGGTGGTGGCGGTGGAAAGGACTCGGGAGATGGAGTCGTTGTAGTCGTTCTTGGAGTCTGGGATGTATGACTCGGTGGTGGTGGTGATTGCCGAAGGAGGTGATGGCAGTGTCTGGGTGTGTGGCTGGGTGATGTTAGCTAGGTCATGGTCATGGTTATGGTCGAGGACCGGGACATGGGAAAGGTGCTTTTGGGCTGGAGTTGGCTGTACCTTCTTCTGCTTCTTCTGCTTCTTTGACTTGTTTCTCCATGATGCGTCCTTGATGAAGGTCTCGTACTCCGCTGGGGATGTCATGAGAGGGAGAAAGTAGGACATGGTGGATGAGTTGTCTTTGGATGACTTGTGTGTGGACGACTTGTGTGTGGCCGATTTTTGTGTCGATGACTTGTGCGTGGACGACTTGTGTGCGGACGAATCGTGTGCGGACAACTTAGGTGTGCTTGGATAACTTGTGCGTGGACGACTTGTGTGTCGATGGCTCGTGCGTGAATGGCTTATGTGTAGACAGCAAGGTTGGCTTTGGTGAATGAAGCTTGTTGAAGTTGATGGTTCAGACTTGAGCAGTTGCTTGAGCTTGGCTTTGGTGAATGAAGCTTGGTGAAGAGTTGGTGGTTCAGACTTTAGCAGTTGCTTGAGCTTGGGTGAATGGATGAAGAGTGAGAGGAAAGGGAAAGAAAGGAAAGGTCTTGGGGGTCAAGCTTTATATGGGAGCTTGTCGAGGCCAGTTCGCCGCATCCCGTAAGCTTCACAGTTGCATGAAAAATGGCTGAACGGCAAAAGAAACCCAAAGACACGGATGGCATCAATAAGGCATGCTGCGACAGCATTTGGAGATGCGCATGCAAGGTTGAACGTTCATTTGCCTGCAGAGCGACATTATCGGTACTTCCCCAAGCACACATCCAGGCTTCCGCGATGTAAACCTCTCGGAGATGGGTTCGGCGACGAAAAAGGAGATGACCAGAAACCCGGAGAAAGAGTGGTGCAAAGTGGCCACAACACTTCAGTTCAGGGCAAGAAGATAGAAGTCGTGGAGGTACAGTTCCATTGCTCGAGTCAATTCGAGCTTCGGCTTCTTCGTGTTACGGCTTGCATGATACATCACGAGTCTTAAACTCACAAGAAATCTCGAATGTCCAACCGACCCAGCCGATGGGCAGAATGATTGTCAGCGGTATATTATCGAGTTCTATTGACACTTTCTATTTTCTACACATTGATCTATATTTGACTGTCCGACAAGACTGAACAGTAGTTACTAGTCAAATTCGCACACTCCGTCTTCTATCCACGCCCATCATCCTTGAGGTGATCGATGCGAACGTCCATGTACTTGGTCGCCTCCTTGATATCTCCCAGGTTCTTTGGATGGCCAATGCTGCTTCTCGTTTCATCGTCCAAACCATGGTACAGCGCACCAAATATCGACTCTTTCCAAACGCCCACTGTGGACCTAGGCCTCAAGATGATATAAAGCAAGTACGCCAGGCCCATGATCTCGATGCCAAACAGAACTGTCAGCCACTCCCACCTTGCGACCAGGATTGTCTCACGCACGACATAACTCCCCGTCACTTTCTCTTGGGACATCGCGTAGTTCTGGTTGTTGAGCGCTGCAGCCAGCGTGTTCATGAAGGCCGGAAGCGTGTTGCGAATAAGTCGGACGCTAAGTTGCGTGTTCCCGGTTGGGTATTGGGCTAATTCTTGTTCGGGGATTAGCCACCATTTCTCCCATCCGGATCGGGCGTCCTCATAGTTCTCCAGGCCGGTATAATTGTGAAGATCTTGCCGAGTAATATGTCTCGAGTACGCCTCATTGAGGTCTGGACCTGTCTCGCCAGTCCACTTAACCTCGCGTTGCACGAGGGGGATCAAAATTTCCATCATCCCGA